TTAATAATTTGAGAATAAAGTATAACAATAATAATAATTTGCACGGTTTGATGTGATATGAGCTAACCGATCTTTAGATTTAATCACCATTGGTAGCGCGATTTATTGTAATGCTTTTTTCCTCAGTTGGTCAGAACAAACGTGGCAGACTCGTTACTTGTTCAGATGACAATATCAGTTGAAAATTCTTATTTGGGTCATAAATTCCAAGACGTAGGCTAGAATCTGTGATCCTGAAGTACAGTATCCACACATACTCCTCAAAACATTAGATTCATCCGCGCCGGAGCACAACCCACGCAAGGAAGAGAATGCCACAAACAGCTGCAATTGCAGGTTTCAAACAGAGATGGCGACAAAGAGACAACATTTACGAACTGCAGCATTAAGTGAAAGAATAAATTGTGATTTAAAATTGAAGAATTAATAGACATATAAAAAAATGTTTATGTAATTCTTGTTTTTAAATGTTGTCAAATAAAGTAATAAATTAAGTCATTTAAAACAGTTTAATTCATGACATTTATTCACAATCAATGACACTTCATGTGAGGTGATTTGTGCCAATAACAGTAATAAGAGTGATGGTAACAGTGTAGATTAAAATGAAATGAAGCTCTGTGTGTGTTTCAGGGTTTAGTTATTGAGAAAGTCGGTCGGAGGCCATTACTGATCTTTGGTTTTTCAGCGATGGCTGTTTTCTTTAGTCTCCTCACAGTCTTCCTGCATTATCAGGTAAATCACAGTCACATTCACACACTAAACACACACTAAACACACTGAACTCAAGCCATGTCTCTCTGTGTGTGTGTGTGTGTGTGTGTGTGTGTCTGTGTGTGTGTGTCTGTGTCTGTGTCTGTGTGTGTGTGTGTGAGAGAGAGAGTGTGTGTGTGTGTGTAGGACAGGTTCTCCTGGATGCCGTATCTCAGCTTCACCTCCATTCTGCTTCTGATCGCTTCCTTCTGCTCCGGTCCAGGTACAGATGTGTGTGTGTGTGTGTGTGTGTGTGTTCATCAGTATGGTGATGATGGTGTGGTCAGTTTGGTCTGAGGTCAAAGGTCACAGCTCTGTGTGTCTTTTCTGATCATAAGAATATAAAGGAGATGCTCCTCGTCTATCTGAATAAGTCATTTCTCTGACGGCTCTCGCTCTCCTCGACCTTCAGAATGACGCTGGATCTCTAATAACTCGCTTTAATATATAGTAGGAAATGAAGTGAACAGTCAGATGAATATAAATCGAGAAACTGTCACTGTTTCCAGCAGATGGTTTGCATCTCATTTACATCACTTTCTCCTGACTGGACAGCAGAAATAAAATATTCACACACACACACAGAGTGAATCATGATGGACAGACAGATATCATCCTTACCTGCGTGTGTGTGTGTGTGTGTGAGACTGAGTGAGTGTGCGCGCGTGTGTGTGTGTGTGTGTGTGTGAGAGAGTGTGAGAGTGTGTTTGAGTGTGTGTCTGTGTCTGTGCAGATGGTCGTGGTCGTTTGTGTTATTAAGCGACTGAACCAGATATACAGGAACTCAAATGTTTCCTGCTGTCCAAAAAACATTAAAGCACATGTTTAAAAATAGATGTGCGGCTCAATCCATGCCCAATCCTCAGGACATGAGCCGTGAGGACACACACACACTCACTCACTCACTCACTCACACACACACACACTCACACAGAGACAGACAGCTGGAGGGAGGGCTGATCTCTCTCTGGGTTTCATTCTCATTCCTCCATTACACTGATTCATTGTGTGTGTGTGAGTGTGAGTGTGAGTGTGTGAGTGTGTCTGTGTCTGTGTCTGTGTCTGTGTGTGTGTGTGTGTGTG